ATACGGTCGACTGAATTTTCCAATACGCAACGCATTTCTACCTTAATGTAAAAAATTGATACAAGCTAGATAAGTGATTATGTAAGTTTGATTTTATGTCGCGTGGCTCATTGGAAAATCGGTCGACGTCGAAGCACAGGATTAGCTGTGTTATATTCTAAAATTGAAATTGAATACACTTTCTATCAGCTAAACGATCCTATTTCCCCCTCGCAAAATATTTCACAAAATATACCTCTCTAATTTCGTAACCCTCTATGAAAATTAAAAAATATTTAATCGTATGTCGTTTTTTTTTTGTAATTTTTTTTTATAGAAAAAATATTTTGGTGCGATCGGTTGTTTTTACACGCACCTATTTACATTTAATCTTCTAACTGTTAATGTGTAAAAATTTTCTGTTCTGCAAATTGACTGAACTATTAGATACGAAAATGTGACAACTAATAAAATGAGAGAAAAATGCTCAGTCTGTTGGAAAAATTGTTACGATGAATATAAACTGTCAAAAATTCTGTATAAATTGTTCTATCAAAATTCTGAAACAATTGTGACCGCTACAGTGTATAAAAATAAGATCAGAAGCTTTTAAGTTTGTCTTTGACCATTCTGTACCAGGCAAATTTTCGAAAAGATGTACTAAACGTTGCTAATTTTACTTTTCAATATTAATTAGCTTGGAAAACCATCACAGTGTTTAACACTCGGCAATGTGTCGTAAATAATAGTATAAAAACGTTTTTCTTTACAAGCACGTGTGCGCACTGTGTTCCATTTCAAACGAGCCGATTAACTGCCCAAAGCATTAATTAGATTCGAATTTCGGTTAAAATGAAACACTCGTCACGCACGCGTGAGAAACGTTACTAAGTTAGTACCGTTACACCGAACCAATCTACTGGATAGTCGTACAAAAAATCCTCCAAGCGACTAATAGAAGCAACGAGAATATTCATAAAAAATCAAGTATCCATGTATCGTTAATCGTATTGCGTTAGCATTTCGTTGAAGTTCGACGAAGTACTCGTCGAACTGTAAATTAGTTTCCGTTGTTCGTATGGCAAGAACGTTCTGGGAACGACTGTCGTTCCCAAAGTCTCGTTCGCATAATCACTTGAACTTTCTTATTAAAAGTCACCTCGATTCTACTTTCAACTCGTGTCCTCATTCGTTTCCATCATAATTGTCTCTTTACTCTTTCTATTCATCAAACGAGAAGCAAACTTTGCTCTCTATGAAAGACATGACCGACGGATCATGCTATTAAGGGCGTCTTTTATTCAACTTTGAACCCTTTGTGTTTTTATCCATTGCATGGATCTTTCACCCACTGCAGTGTGGATTTTTACCAACTCCCTGTTGGAATTTTATATTCTCTGCTACACGACTGTGCAATTGCAGTTTTGTCAATCGAAATAAAATTCGAAGGGTCTTAAACACAATTAGTGCTGTGTCACACATTTTCAAACATAATATCCCTGACATTTTAATGATAACCAGCAGATAGTTTCATTGACATGCCAGAGATCTGTGTCTATAATTCAGATCTCTTTTCGAAGAGAATCTGAGAAATTTCTGAGAAAATTCATTTGCTAAAGTTCTGAGCATCACAACTTAAATAAAATCGTAATTCCTTGGGAAATAATTTTAAAAACGAAAATATCTTATGAACGTATTCATTAATTTATTTTACTTCACCAGTTTTAATCGAATCTTGAACTTGCTCAATAATTTTAGCAAAAGAAAATCTCACGATCACCCCATCGTAAGCTGCGAGCAGCCGTAAAAAAATAAAACAAAATCGTTGAAAACAATACAGCATCTCATGCATGATGCTTATCGAACAAAACCGTTCACCTGTAGAACGTCGATTTCTATCTACTTTCTTTCTCTTTATAAAACGGTCTCCTCCTCCTTCGTACCGACGTTAAATTACAAACAATAATACGTATGCGCGTATATAATATACTTTGCAACATATATATATATATATATATATATAAATAAATATTTCATACTATATAACAAAAAGCGATGCCGCTTCACTGGGTTGCTATCGAAACCTCAGACTCGATTATGCGAGCAAAAATTCGTTCGTTCGTTCCATCGTTATTATTATCTTGTACCTACATCGTTTAACAAAAAGATAAAGTTCTTGTCTTTATAAATATCTGATAACTTTATCTCTGTTTCATCTCGAACCGTTTCGAGACTTTTGCAAATTATGCTAGGAGGTTTCGAGCTATCTTGTTTCAAGTATCAAAGATACATTCGCTAGTGTAGGCACGTGAATGATACTTACCACTTGCTATTCAAAAATAGTTAACTATCGTCTCTCAAACAAAAAAAAAACGTATAAAAACTCACTTTTAAGAATTCTCCTCTATCTTTTTTTGACGTAGCGCTCATCGTTTCTCAACGCCTCAGTCACTATACATCGGTTGTCTATTTTTTTATCACAATTTTAATTGCGAGTGCAGATTTACTGCAAAGTGCAGTCTCACACGAAATCGAAAGAATTTTTATCAACTTTCGCAGTCTGGTGATTCTTTTGAGCTTTCGTTTAAATGATTCTAAATGTGAACACGCGAAATATCTATGGCAGTGCAATTAAGCGCTTGGACATTCGAAAAGATCGAAAACCGATTGTACCTAACACTCACAAATATAAAAAAATAAATGACTTTCTTAGATATTAATGAAAACCAATTGTAGAATTGAAATAACTGAGAAAGTAATTCATCCGAATTCACAAAAAAACTATCGTCACGTTCTATTCGTAATATAATTCTTTAAAGAAACCTAAACTGGCCACGAACGGAATTTCTAATTTCTGAACCCACATTAATCGGTTTTCCTTCTACTTTTCCAAGACGAATTTCAATGAAAATCATGCGCTATCATACCTAATGACAATTATCTACCTATACTCGGTGACTGAGGGTGTTCAATCAAATACTCGATTCTCGTTTCCACGAGACATTTTAGACAGTTTCACTAAAAGAGTATCGAGGACGCTCAGACAGGTGGAGGTCCCCTGACATACTGCAGTTTAGGGAACAACGAGAGATTCAATGTGTTAGCCGACTCGCAGCAGTGCGGTTGCTCCAGGAGGCAAACGGCGCAGAAGAGGACCAGCATGGCTAGATGGAAGGGCAACGACGCCTTCAGGATGCGCCAGATCCTGCTTTGAGGGAGGTCAGGGTCCTTGTCTGGGTCCCCAGCATCCATCGCGTTACCTTTCGTGACAATCGCCGCGATCCGCTCGACGCCTTCCTTCGAAATATTCTCGACCACGTTGTTGGCTTTCTTGCGCTTGCTGCAGATAAGCAGACAGGAAAATCGAATTCGTTTAGATACGATCTTCAATCATTTTCACTAATTCGTGTTCGTGCTGCGGAGTTTCATGCTGGATCCTTTGTTTCGTGTTATGGATGGATATCGTATAAAATGATTTTCTTGAATGTTAGTTGGATTTCGGAGAAACGCCGGGATATTGGATCTTCCGTTTGTTAATGGATAGTGTGAATGCTGGATGGCATTAGAAGCTCGGATTGACTTGTTAGCGATTTTCCTGGATGACATAGTTGATTCCCTTAGGAAATTCCAGGACGTTGGATCTTTTGTTTGGTGGTATTATTATTGGACAGTGCGAATGCTGGACTGAATTTGCATAGAAGAGAGCTTGGATTGATCTGCTGGCAATTTTCTTAGGTGATTTCGCTTGAGCTTCTTGGATTAGAATCTCGAGGATGTCGGATCTTCCATTTAATATTACTAAAGATTCGCCGTGCTCGCGTAGAGTATAACGAAATGGAATGGTAGTATTCACGATAATCAGATTAGTTCCCATGTTCAAGATTAAATTAATTCTAAAGTCGACTAACCGCGAATGTGAAGTAACTATGAAACAAGGTTCCGAGTAAATTAATTTATAGCATCCCCTGGGCTCAGACGAGGAGTAAAAGTTCAAAGCAAGATCAACTTACTAATTGGTTACTCAAGTATAATTTTTGGTAAAAATGTCTCGAAGCAAATGAAACACTATTCAGAGGAATAAAAATAATGGAATCCGTTTCTGCAATCGAAAGGAGGATAAAGCGAGGAAAAGTACCATTCGACGCGAGGGAAAGGGATCTTTTACTACTTTTTTTATGATGCAATATGGGCAACGCTCTGTGCCCCGAAAACTAAACCTATTACCGTCGACACCGCAGCAGTGATTAAATGCGACTATAAAAAAGCATCCTCCAAACAAAGTTAAATAAGGTGGCCTCGTAATAATGGGAATTCGTGAGTAATTGCAATTGAAAGTGGCGTTTCGCGGGACGAGTCAGAGAGTGAAGCAAGCACAGTCGGGTTTAACTCGATTACTTCTACTCCCATAAACAAAAACTCTGTAGATACCAAAAAGTAATACCGCTACTGATTGTATAAATGTGATACACGATGAATTAAACTACTATAAATTATATGAAATAATTGCAGCGATGCAATTCGTCTGAAATACTTCGAGACTCAACGAGGCAGTGGTTAAAAGAACGTCAGGAGTTCATTCACAGCCTAACTTATATTCAAATGAGTAGACGCGTTTATGAGAGAACTATGAACGAGAAGCGCAATGTTCTTGTCCCCGCTTCTAAAAGACGGCGGCTTCATTCTTTGCTTTCGACGTTATGCAAATGGAATGCGACTCGTCGGCAAGATCGTTCTTTATTCGCTCGAAAGTCTTGGAGCGCCTGAATAAATTAAAAACGCGGTCCGCGTTTACCTCAAAAGTACCGCATAACAAATTCTCCAGCTCACTTTTCGATTAGGAAGTATGATGAAGGACCAAGTTGTGAACATCGTCAGTATAAATAGTGTAAAGATTTGTAAAAATCCATGTTTCATGCAATGACCTTATAATCAGTTTCTCTCGGAATTCAATTTTATGACACACTATCATAAAATGTATGTGATACCGTGAAATGTATTAAAAAATTGATGATTGTACTCACTCTACGAAATGATGAAGCTGTCCACCAGACCTTTTGGCAGCCCTGGCCTCGACGCTGGCGGCAGTGCGGACAATCAGCTCTCTGCACTGTTTCTGCAGATCCCTTAACTCGGTTTCCGCGTCCTCGACGCGTCTCCAGAGCTCGGCCAACGCCTCGCTGCCAGGCGTCAATTGACTCTCCAAACTGCGAGTCAGCCGGCGTAGCGCCGCCAATCGTCTCTCCCGTTCGCTCAGCTCCTGCTCGCTTCCGCTGTCAGAGATTCCGCTGTCGGACAGCGAGCCGCCCTCGGTCAGACTGATCGGCGGCGAGTCGCCGAATTTCGACGCGTTGCCCACCTCCTCCGTGCTCGAGTCTTTCAGCACCGTGCCGTTCTGCAACAAGAACGATTCGACTGGTTAACTCTTTGATAGGTCGTTGCCTCTTCAGTCAATAAATAGAGACAGAGACAGCGTTGGCACGCCAGTGTAGCAATAGGTTTTTCGGGTCTTGTTTGCATTGATTGTGCAACGAGATTCTAATCGTGCAAATACAATTTCTTTTGATCGTATCTTGTTCGACTTGAAGCATATTGATTACAAGGAAAATCACGATGGGATGTGCCACGTTGATTAGATCACGGGATATGCTGATAGGTATAAATACACCCCGGGAGAATACGATATCGAATACTGCATAATCCAGTGTTGGTTATTGCCGCCGGGCGACCGGAAGGCATATAAGACGATTATACGAAGGAAGGGGAGATGGAAAGAAAGGAAGCAGACGGAACCCAGGGCCGTGTCAACTAAAATCATTCTCAACTCTCAGTAAAAAACTCATAAGTTCAAAATATTAAGAAAATCATATGAAAAATTATATTACCTCATTTTATAAATAATATAAATTAAATCTTGCTTTCCAAAATATGAAACCAGATGTTAATCGTTGATGGTATAAATGAACCTTTACTGACGTGAACTCATTTCCCGGCTCGAACGAGAAAGCAACAGAAAAAAGACACCCTAAGTCACGACACGAAACGTTGATACCAGACAACAGTGGTAATAGTAAAAAAGTGGCAGGGTGCGGAGGATTGCGAGAGACGGGAAGACACGGGGGTGGCCGAAGGGGTGGGAAAGGAGAGGGTTGGTTTAGGCTGTTGCAGCGAGGAGGACGAGCGGGAGGCGAGGGGAGTAGAGCCTCCGGTAATGAAAAGCGCGATCCGCATACCAAGCAGCAACCTTCGAGGTAACCTATATAGGAACCCGGTACACTCTTGTATAACGAATAGTAGGTACGAAGTGAGTCTCGAGTCAGAATCCACGTTGCCCGAAGGACCAATCACGTAGAAGAAAACTGCGAGAATTCCTTATTTCCGGCCGGTCTAGTGCTACACTTTCTTTTTTTACTCGATACTCAACGATCAACCTTGAAATATATTACTAAGTTCAAGTTTGGGTAGACTGGAACAGTTTATCATTTTGAAATATTGTCGGCATTTTCTTTCAATTCCGACACATATTTTTAAAATTCTTCCTATCTGATACTTATAAGATAATTAAGAATCAAAACGATCAACATGCTCTCTTTATCTTGAAAACTGTATCCATGAAACACATTCTTAACTAGGAACGCTATCCTTGAGGTGAGCACCCCCATTGGCGAGAAATCCATAAATTTTGATAGCAGGTAAATAAAATATTAGCACGGCCGTTCTACGGAGAAGAAAAGGGAGAAGCAAGTTTTCGGATCAGAGTCGCCATCGGGAATCGGCGTTGGCTACCTCGCCGGGCGCGGCGGCGGTGGAGCGGCTCCCCGGGGAGCACGGATCGTTAATCGCCCGAACGATTCCCTTTCGCCTCACGTACGGGAATGGCCCGTGGAATCAGCGTAAAAATACAAATTTAATATCGCTCGACTGACCAGTCGTAACCCGCGGATATACCGATGTCGACGAGCAGCGTTTCCGACGTGGCCCAGAGATTAAGAGGGTTCAAACGGCTGATTAGCGCTTCCGATGCCAGAACATGTCCAAGATAAAAATCCCACCAGAGTTCCTTCATAGTTTTCAGAAATCATTTTTCGTCGTGTCTCAATTAAATAAAGAAAATTAAATCATTGCGGTGATAAGACTTGCGGTTAGAGCGCAGGAAAGACGAGACCGAGAGGTTGGAGCAAATTTCTGTAACGCGATATCGCGAATTAACAAGACAGAGAAAAATTGCTCGGCGAATTATCTTGGTAATACCCAGTTTTGCTTTTCACGAGGAATAACTCTCAGAGTTCACCTTCAGTGTTACGCGGTTTCATTTTATCACACGCCTGGCTGCCCTTTAGACCGTTACATTAGTTTCATTCCTGTCGCCAAGTCCTAATTATACACAGCGTTCGAATTAGATGAGTCTAATTATAAGATCTGATACGAATTATTCGCGAGCTTGACAGATAGCTTTACATGTATAAATTACATTATGTCGTTCCATTTCTGCATCATGCTGTGCAATTTCCTATCTAATTGGTTATACAATTTGACATGCAATTTGCTCTGCAGTTTGTATTAAATCAATACCAAGCTTGTAACTAATAATTTCATACAAAACTATCGTCTCTGTATTTGTACATATTTTCAATTTCTGCTAAAAAAAAATGCATCTTCAATAAATTTTCTAACACCTTTTTCTATAATAATATGAAATAAATTTTCTGAGGAAAATGTAAATGAATCCTACTTGCTATGAACCTATCACAATTTTTTAAATTCTTGTTGATCTCATTTCACCAATCGAAACTGTACCATTATCCTTGCCATCTTTAAGGCAAACAGTGAGGGTTGAAGAAAGAAAGGTGAGCCAGTAATATCGAGCACTTTGTCGAGCAAGCGTAACGCGTTTCCCCTCCTCTCAAGAAAAATAAAGAAAGATGTAAAGTCGAGTGCATGAAATTATCCCCACGAGTGTTGTAGATCGAAACGCGGATTGTTCCGCCTTGACGGGAGTTTGAATGCCTATACCGGAGGAGTTCGTTGCCGGATGTACGTAGCCTAACGTTCGCGGGGGTCGCTCCTTCTTAACCTTTGTTAGGGTGAAAATATCGTGTCGCGGGCCATACGTCTTCCGGACAGGCGAAATAAGCGCGGGGACAATTCAAAGTTGCGAACCCAACACCGTCTCGCCTTTTTTAACCGTACGTCGTTTTTGCTCGTGGTTGAAGATATTTTTCTTACATGATAATGAAAGAGAGCTTGCGTTTCCGAAAAACTTACAATAATTTTAACACTTTTGTTGGGTAATTTAAACGAAATAAAAAAAACGAAGACAGTTGAAATTGCAGTGGAATCAAAGAATATGAATTTTAGTATTTTATACGAATTTCTAAAAGCCAATACCATTTGCTTCTCACTGGATCATTGAAAATCATCATTTAAAAACTGGATCATTTAAAAGAAGACAAAGATTTCCTTCATGTACGAAAATTGTTAAACAGGAAAATGAAATAAGTATAACATAAACAGCCATATAGAACATAAAAGGAGAAAGGTAGGGGTGAGATTAGGGCAACGTTTGACAGATGACACTTGTCGATATCGTGTTTCGGTTAAACGGCATCGCATCCCCCTATTCCCAGCATATCCGTCTTGCATTTGCATATAAAGTAAATCTCTTTGGGCACCGAGCGCGCAAGCTTTTATGGACTTAAGGAGAAAAGTAGCTCGAGGTGAGGCAGGTGCCGGGTTTGTTATCACGACTTCCGATTGGGCCCTGGCCGTGTTCCGCTTGTCGGGGAAACGTGCAAGCGATATTTCCACGTCGGCTTCGCCTCATTTTTTTCCCTCCTACGCGATTAGAATAACTGGTCCCGCGCGATTGCTCGACTTATTGTGCCCTACCCCCTACCATCTTCGATTCTCGCTCTCCGTTCCCTTCTGATTTTATACTTAATTGTATGATTAAATGAAAACCGAAATAAGTTACCTTCAATTTAGAATTTATTTGATAGATGCACTTCAATGTATTTTATTTTTCTTCGAATGCAGTTTTGATATGTAAGTAAAAAATTAATACCATACGAAATTCCCTGCTCTCTTCAAGATCCTATGCCATTGGATTTTACTAGCAGAAAAGAGAGAGACAGAGAGATAGAGAGAGCTGAAGGAAAGGTTTTTCGCGAGGTAGAAGACGAACCAATAAACATGATTCGCCTTATAATCTCGCCTTCCTTAGGAGAGCCATATCCCCAAGAGTTCCTCCGTTCAGGCAATCTAAGCGGGGAAATGGTTTTATGCACACAAGCGATACCCACGGGAACCGTTACCCCATCCAAAGACGTTGAATAATTGCTGCCAGCTATCTAACCGATTGAAAATCAAGGATGCCGTGGGAATATTGGCTAAACGATTTAGCAACGATCTCGATTCTCAATAGTTGTTAATGGATAAAATTTTAGAGACAGAATGCTGCTTTCTAATTTATACTCAACAAAAACGTATACTTCTTTCCAACCTGCTAGATTTTTAGTCTAATATTAATCTAATAATGTAATATTAAAAATGGTTGAAGTCTATTATATAAAATTTTTGTACACGCGGAATATTCAAAGCAATTGCATATATCATTCATAAAAAGAAAAGACGAAGTTGTAAGATCCGTGGAAACGGTAATAGCGGCGAGGTAAAGAAGAAAAGGCGTGATGGAAGGACCGAGGATAGCCATTATCCAAGCGAAGACGCGATGCAAAACGCTGAACGCGCACTTAGGCCCTTTCGGCCCTCGATGATCCCTTCTTATCCAGTGACTCTAATCATTACACGTAACGCACACGTACAATGTAATGGAATCGAGTAATATTCGATTCGATCGCGGCATGGTCAAAAGCAATTTTCTACTCGAGAGCAAGATTGATCGATACGCGTTACATTGCGAAGAATTAGTGCAATTTCGAAGATTTACGATTTCTCATTGAAAAAATAAAATCTAAATTGAGATCCACTTCGAATATAATAATGTGCGTTACTTTTTAATGTTTGCACGTGTCACGTGAATTTTACCAACTGACAGAGACGCAAGAAGTGCTCGTGAAGTGAAACAGTACATTTCCTATTTTATCGAATCGCTTTCGACACTCTACCGTGGTACTGAAAAATTTTATAGGCCAATCATTTTCCACGGTTACTCGACTCGCTCGGTTACAACGCGTAAAACGATTGAAACGCGTTCGAACTTCACGCGATAGGATTTTGATCGTCCGATTGGAATTTGAACAAACGTACCTGGCAATTGATGTCTTGTTTCTCGGACAACAGCCTGGCGACGTGACGAACAGACGAAGCGACCTCCGAGGTGGCTCCCGCTTGCAGGGCCACGTCCAAAACTGCAAGGGTGTCCTTATCCCTTCGCAGCGCGCACTGAAGTTCCGCCAAACGCATACTAAACTGTTGGACTGCTTGCAGGGCGCACAATTGTTGGTTGCCCCTGGAAATTAGTTTCGAACACCAGTCAGTACAGTCGCTGGGGGGAGTGAAAGACAATTGATTCTATTCAACTTAATCGACGCATCCTAATTTATTAACTCAACCCGAACAAATGAAATCAACTAAAATCAATTCAGCATATACCTTTTAACACATAATAATTAATTCAATTAATTTTCTATGACAATGATGAATAAAAATTTCAATTTTTACAAAGAAAATCTAAAAGTATTCGAAAAATTCTATTTTGACCATTCAATGCAATCAATTCGTGACCCTTGATATGAGTACACGTGCACAGTTTCGGGGAATCGGTGAAATCTAACAGCACGAAATTGAATGGAAAAATCGCAACTCGGGTCAACACAATAAAAAGTGGAACGAGGGCGAAGCCTCTCGGCAAACAGTAAGACGTCAAATTATTAGCGGATCTACCCAACGGCGTATCGGCAAATAGAAACACTTTAGGCGAATCTGAACCCTCTAGGCACGCGCAAACAAATAAAACCGAGACTAGGTTTCCGCATTGGCGTCCATGGTCGAATTTTCTTTTATAGAGCATTTAAAAGTGTATAAAATTATAAGGTCATAGTATAAGAAAGAACAGTAGATTTACTCTGTCAAAAAGTGTACTAATAATTAATTTTTGCGTACGAGAAAATCACACAACCAACAATTATTACATATTTCAATTAATTATTGACGCTAGTAAAAAAATTTTATACAGAAGTTGTAGGCACTGACGTCCTCCAGAAAGATTCGATGAATTTTTCTTTTAACTCTGATATTCTACGAGTTAAGTATGATTGATTGGCATTTTATTGGTACTGACAAAATCTGATCGTTCCTAAATTTAATTTTTTAACCAGGGACATCAAGAGAAGATTCACGTGTGCTCATGGAAAGAATGGAAATTCGTGAGAGGGCGAGTGGATAGGATTGACCTTTGCGAAAGCCCAGTGGGTCACTGGCAAACCCCTTTGCATGGGTCAGACCCCTATCAGACGAGGGAATCAAGTGCTCATACGGCAATTAAAACGCGACTAAGGCCGCAGCAACGCGACGCGACGTGCCTTTCGCTCAGAACACGTATCAATTTCAAGGTCCGTGATTTTGCCTGACCTGCCCTGCTCGAGATACGCCCCTTCGTTTAGAGCCAGTGTTGGTCTGGATAGAAATTTCTAATCCATATTATACACGTTTCTTTTTCAAATAAATTCCATTTTATCAAAAATGGACAATTATATATAGAATATTTAATATTACATTTGAATTCGTATTGCATTAATTAAATTACAATTATATATGGAATAGGTCATTTCACTTATTGAATGTCGGAGTTCAATTTTTATTGCATCGTCCCTTGAACTGATTTTTATATTCTAATTGGATGTTTCATGATACAAAGCTCGCCATGTCAAAGGAGTTTAAAGAGGCGTTTCAACGGTCAGTTTAGAAGTGTCCAAGATTAAATTCGCGATCCGGGCTAAAACTAGTAATCCCGTGACACGGGTCGAAATCCCAAAGACCCGAGCCCTCGTTGCCGGTACCTATGGTATATTGTACCAAGGACCACGGCTCTCACTGTTTGCTTTCGAGGCTTCATTGCCTCTCATAATATTTGCACAACGTCACACGTCGGACAGCCGAACGGTCAGTCGATGATCCTATACTATTTCGCAACTTACGAATACTATTCTCTCAAGTTTCAAAAATTATTATACTAAATCCTCATCATCCATGTTAATTGAATTATACTATTTCGCAACTTACGAATACTATTCTCTCAAGTTTCAAAAATTATTATACTAAATCCTCATCATCCATGTTAATTGAATCGAAGAGAATTTAAGATGCTGTCTCAACGTGTTTAAAAAAATATTTCTATAATTTGTTTAAACTGTAATTAGACTGTGGAATCTATGCATTTAATAATCAAATTGAACGTACAAAAAATATAAACACTGTACAATGTATGAAAATAAATATCAAAACCTACAATGCATCTATTTAACTGATGACACAAAATTTTAATTTTGCATAAAAATCCGTGATCTATGGAAACAGAAAATTGTACTCACTTTTGGAAAGTCTCGTCCCAGATGCGATAGAGATCAGCAATGCCGTCTTTTAACGCAGTGTAGATCAACGAACTGGAATTACCGAGATCGGTGATCAGTCTGTGCGCGGATACGTTCAGCGCCAGCATCGCAGCCTTACGATCCCTCAACGCGGCCAGCTCGGCCTGGAACATTAAATATACATTTTTAGTGGTTGCCTTCTTCGACTAACTCAAACGAATTGCCCCCTTTCGTTCGTACGGTTACGCTCCGGGGGCGGGTGATGTATAAACTGGTCACAGTAGTACCAAACCGAGCCAACTATACGTCTTACGCCGCTATATAAAAGATACTTTATGATTTGTGCTGAATTATGCCTGATGGCACGCTTTTGTAAAGGGAAACTGTTTTTTAAGTATGGAAACGAATGAAGAACCACTATAAACATTTTGATATCTACAAATATTGAATAATACATTGTTTCTATAATTTGATCTTCATTTTTTGCTATGAAATAACATTAATAAATTTTTTTATAATCATCTTGCTATCTCTTAAACTCCTTACATTTATTTGCATGTCAAAATTCCATTAGAATGAGCAATTCCATTTTCTGTAATTATACAAAGAAAATTTCGTTTTACATCAAAGTCTGTTAATCATTGATCTGGAGAACTTGAAGCAACAAGGCAACGTATGAAGCAGTATCGGGAACGAAATAAACGTACGTTTATCAGGAAGAACATAAGCAAACTGTAAGGGTTGCAAGGTAGACAATGGAGTAACCACGTCACGTTGTCACGTCCCCGTCGTCCTACTGCAGGAGGCGACCGACGAGGGCCGCATAAATAAACCCAGCTTTACGACGGCGCGGCAACGTAAGAGAACGAAAACGAGAGGCCGGCCTCTGCTACCGTTTCTATCTCCCTCGAACCACCCCGCGGTGTCATTTCTCTCGCGTGACGAGCGGGAAAGTTCGAGAGTGGGAACCTCGTAAAGCTTGCGGTCATCTACGCCTTTCCCATCTTCCACTACTCTGCACTACAGTAATTTCTGCCCACCCGAAATTACCGAATTTACTACTGTTCCTCTGTCGTACATCGATCTAAGGATTCCTGATACTCACACGAGGCTCTTTCCGGTATTCAAGGAAATTGAAAGTTGTAATGAAAGTTGGGAAATTGATGGGATTGGTGACTTCAAGAAATTACACGTAGCAGAATAAGAGAAATAGATCGAGATAGTATTAGTCAGACGCGATTGGAAATCAGGTATGGTTGACTTATACTACTTAATTTCTCCGAAGATTGTTCTTCAGGCTATGTCTCTGCTATCCCTGGCAAAAAGTTTTTGAAGAGTTTAATAATAATAG